CCATCAGCCGAAGCCCCTTCGCCGGGGGCTTTGGTGGGTCGGTGGTGGGCACCGCCGCAGGCAGAGAGGCTCCGACCACATCACCCCTCCTCTTAACCAGCTGCTTCTCCATCCTTGTCAGGTTTACAACCTTAAAAATCTCACGGCCTGGAGACCGAAAATGATTCCTTTGGATCTTCACTCACTTTTCCAGCTGCTCCAACGCGAGGAATGACCATTGATGTTCAAGAGTTATACAGAAATCCTGCATGGCAGCAGCTTTCCCCATGCACCCCCTAAACACTGGCAGCTCCCAGGTTGCTCCCCCGTTTCCCTGTCAGGGAGAGCTGCAGTGTTTCGAAATGAGTTGTTTTTCTTCCACCTCTGCTATTTGGTTCGGGACAAACCCAGTTGCCGGTGTTGGCCGGAGTGGGCAGCAGGCAGGGATGGGCAGGGGAAGGGCCGGGGCAGTGGTATGTGCCCCAGTCACCTCGGGCATCCTTCGTCACCTATGTCGGAGTTACTAAATGCAGGAGGGCTTTCGGGTAGGAAACCCCGGAGGTTTCGGCCAGGGGTGTTTCAGCAGGGTGAGGATGAGCGCCAGTCCTCACACAACAGGTTGGCCGGGTTGGAGCCCCGGGGACGGTCCCGCTGTGCCGGTTCGGGCTCATTCCTGGAAACCCCTAACACCGCACCGGCCACGCTGGAGACAGCGCCGTCCCGAGCAGCGTGGCGTGGATTGAGAGACCAGAGGATGAATTGCAGGGTATATAGGTAATGGTTTACTACGGTCGTGTGCGACATGAAATAAGGGTTATCGCAAGCCGTACAGAACGTCACGAGACACACACCCCGTCACAACCCCCCCGGGTCCGAATGCACGAGTGGGTTCACACATGATGCAGCGCATGGCCCCGCGGCAGTGACGGCAGAGAGGAGGGAGCAGGACTGGACACAGCGGAGCCAGGGAATGATGCCTGGAAAACACCTCTCTGCAGGGTAAGGAAAATATATATTTATCTCTGGTTCCAGCAATACCGGGTAAAAGTGCAACGCACGAAGGCTGACGGGTGGTGCAGGGCTTCCTCGATGCAGATGGTGGGGTGAGCACTGGGCACCAGCCCCCCTGAGCCGTGATGGTCCCTCACCATCCCCTTGTGTGCACACCGGTGTGTCCCCACGTACCGCCCCCGGTGACCGCTGGCCCTGTGGCCTCGTCCCGGACGCGTGGCTGCAGGACGTGTCCCCGTCACGCAGCGGGGACCGTTCCCACAGTGGGGCCCGTGGGAAGGGAAGGCTGCGCCCCGTCTCTGATGCTGCAAGTCTCACCCGTAACTCTTCAGGACCTCCTGTGCACGTCACCCACATTCATTCTTTGGCAAACAAGTTCATGGCATTAATTTATAGCTTCAGGACCCGCCTGTGGCTGCCGCTCCCCTCCTCGGCCACTCCTGGGAGATGGGACAGGCAGGGACAAGGTCTGGGAGGAAGAAGACGGATCTTCTGCTTGTTCAAACCCCTCCGAGCCCTCTGCCAGCAGCTGACGAGCCTGCGGTCCCCCCTCGGTGCCCAGGGCTGGTGCCTGCGGAGCCGTGAGCCGTGCACATGTCCCCACAATGCAGTGGATGGCAGCACTTTGTGCCAAGCCACAAAACCAAGGTGACAGGCACCTTCTCCCTGGCCACATGCCGCAGCACGGTGAGCTTGGACCCACACGCTAGGGATGGGTGATGCAATACCCCACGGGGTTTCGGTGACCCGCACGGTGCGTTCACCCACGAGGAGAGGGCTGTGCTGGTTTAGTTCCCCTCAGGGTAGGAACATGAGTTACGTGAAACCACTGTCAGGTGCATTTTAAGTGGGACAGAGCTTGTGGGGTGACGATAACTCCGTGCACGTGCTGACGCGGTGGCTCGGGGCCGAATACCCCAGGGATGGGTGCTCTGTATGCAAGGGGCTCCAGCCACCTCCATGTCCCCCTGCCAGCACACGCCAGCTGCCCTGCTCTCTTCATTTCCTAAATGTCCTCTACAGGCTGCAGAGGACAAGCCGGGTGGGAAGGAGAGAGCGAAGCGGCACGCCGCCGGCTGGCAAAGCAAGGGCATTTCCTCTCGGCATCCTGCAAAGCCGAGCGCCAGCGTGAGAGACGAGCTGCTTCCCGCTCTTCGCATCAGCCCTCAGCCTTTCTTTCGGCTTCAGCCATTTCCTCAGCTGCTCTCGCTGCTCCAGAGCCCTCCCAAACTGCCCATCCGAAGGACCCTCCGGTGCTGACACCCCCTGCCAGCGAGGAGCCACACGATGGGACAAAAACTGATCCTTCCTCATTCGGGGAAAGCAGAAAGGGGCTTGTGTCTTCTGACCTGTCTCAGCGGGGGTTACATCCACACCCGGGATAAAAGCGGGCGCTGAGAAAAGGAAATGCTAGTAGAAGGAATAGTACAATCTATTAAAAAAGCTTTGGGCTGCTGGCTATTCTGACCACAGAAGTGCTAAAAATACACACATTTCCGAGACCACCCGTATTTCAGAACCGCTAAAAGACTAGATTCTTCTCATAGAAATTTTAAAAAAAAAAAAAAAAAAAAAGTTTAAAATCCATTTGTATCAACTCGCTCGCCTTCAACAAACCTTTAAAAAACCCCACGCGCGGGCTGAGGCGGGAAGGAAAGCGCGAGGGCAGGGACGGGCAGGCAGCGCAGGGACCTCTCCTGCGCCCGTCGCACAGCCCCGCTCCGCCGGCAAACCCGGGGGGGCGGCCGTCCGTGCCCCCAGGCTGCGCTTCAGCCCCCTCATCTCCCACCTCCCACACGACGTGTGTGCCAGTGAGCGCAGCAGGCGGGAGCAAAGGGACCGGGGATGGAGGACACACACCCCGAAGCCGCACCCGGCGTGTTCTCCTCTGCCTTTGCTGGGCTGTATTTTAGCATCCCAGCACTGAGGGCTCGCAGATACGTCCATCACGCTCACGGCAAAGGCAGCGCTGGTGCTGCCCCGGCTGTGCCTGAGCCCTGGGATGGGGACATAAAGCTTTGGGGTCACTCTAAGGTGGTACGTGACACACTGACTCTGCTGCTGAGGCCCAGAATTAGGAAAGGGGCATCCAGTGGCCAGATGGATGATGCGGACATTAAAAAATAAACCCATCCTAATCCCTAATCACTGCTAAAATCTGTCTAATCCCAGCCCCAGAAGTGAGGGAAGCCACGGCATACAGAAAGTGCAGATGTGGAGTCAGCGCTGGGCTCCGCGGGGATCCACTGGGACGAAAATGGAGCATTGGGCTGGAAAAGCAGAGATGTGGTTTGCGCTCACTCCAAAGCCCACTCGGCCAACCACTGCTCACACCGGGCTCGCTGCTCCTCCGTCTCTGGGCTCTTGGCTTCGTGCTGTGCCTCCTCTCCTCCGTCACCAAGCACGGCTTCCTGGCTCTCCTCCTCTTCCCCCTTCTGCATCATCTTGTCCTTCAGCTCTTGGATGGTCTCATCCAGCCGGTGAGTGACGCTGTGGGGCACCCAGTTGCTGTCCATTGCGGTGATGAAGGGGTCGGGCGCGCAGACCTCGATGAGCTCCTTGCCAGTGGGGATGCGCAGGTAGTAGGCGTGAAGCATCATCCTGTAGGGACTGCTGTCCTTCTTGTGGCTGTACGTGAAGTCCCCCACGATGGGGTGGCCGATGGCGCTGCAGTGAACCCGGAGCTGATGAGTCCGCCCTAGGGGGAGAGCAGGAGCGGAGGAATCAGGGACACAGCTTTATCCCTCAATCCCCCCTCGAGGGCACAGTGGTGCGAGGTGACAATGCGCCAAATGGCATTTGTCCCCCCTAGTCTGAAAACCTGAGTCCTCCATGAGCTGAGCGTGGCTCCCAGCTCCGCTCAGCCCTTCCTAGGCTTGGTTTGTCACTATGCCACCATGCTGCCACCAAGGCCCGGCTGCAATCTCGCAGGTCCCGCCACAGCACCTCTGCTGCTCTCTGTCCGGCCTCAGCAGCCCGCCGTGCCCACGCTGCTCCCAAACCAAA